CAAGTGTTTCTTGGGTTGGTGATTGGAATGGGGTGCTAGGAATTCATTTGTGCTATAACTACAGAAAGAAAGCCTGACAGCCATTCAGTTCCCCCAGAGAAGCTCATCCAGAACAGGGGACCATGGTCACCATGAGACTTCTAAGCTCCCCCAAATATCAGACTGGTCCAGATTAGAGTGACATCAGTATTTCCTTTACTGGTTCTTCTCCCCTCTTCCCACACACCCACCACCGCCTATTTCTTTCCCTTTGCTGGTTCTTGAAATCTGTCAGTAAAGTGGGAGGGTCTCCTGGAACATGACCCAGAGAACATGATCTCTGGGCTGGGCAGCTTGGACAGACCACAGCCAGTTGAGCAGCTACTGTAGACAAGGGTCTCTGTGGGAGGATAGGAAGGGGCACAGATGTACAGCGTGTACAGTGTGGCTGAGCCACAAGGCTGGGAGGGGATTTCCATGGAGGGCCCTGCTCTTCACCCCCAAGCTCATGTCATTTCACTCCAGTCCTCGGAACAACCCTATAACCTGCATATTTTGATGCCCCTTCTAAAGTGAAACCCAACAAAGTTTTGCCTCTATTTATGTAGCTAGGAAGTGAATCACCACATAAGATAATCCCAGAAGTGTTACAAGGCTCAGTGACCAAAACAGGGTACAGCCAGTAAGTTCTCTGAATTCGGGGAACCTGGGGGTGGAGGAAGAAAGCATAGAGGCTACAGCAGGCAGGGAAGGCTTCCTAGAAGAGGCAGGTCTGGGGTGAGCCCAGAGAATTGGTCAGGCCATGGACAGCTGCAGAGAGAACCAGGAAGGCACTTTGGGCCCTGAGCAACTGGGGACAAAGGAGAGCAGTCTGGCTTTGCTGTGCCTCCAAGCTCATCTGTAAAGCACAGATACTGTAAGAACCCTGGCTTCATGGGGTCGTGGTGAAGATCACATGAGACGACATTTTGTAAAAGTGCTTGGCCTGCAGTTGGCACAGGTTGGAAGTTTAGGAAATGTCAGCTTCACCCCTGCTTCTGAAGCTCCTGGAGCCAACTAGTAGGAACAAGCTCACCAATAACTGAGGAGCAGAGCACAGCAGGTTGGGCCACAGAGGGTGCAAATGAGGCAGGAGCCCGGGGCCTGGCCTGCCCCACCGCTGTTTATCCTGGCTCTGTGAGCTTCAGCTTACCAGTGTGCCCCCTCCCCAGTGCCATAGAAGCTGATCTCCCTCCCAGGCCAGCCCAAAGATTCCAAGGTCCCGGGCTTCACCTCCCTTGGGGTACAAGAAACCTCCAGAGTCTAAGGGGTAAAGCTTCAGGTAAAGTATTCCTTCCAAATCCTGCTCCTTTAAATAACCTGATAAGTCAAGTGAGGATAAGGCCACAGGAGGACATGGGCCACTCCTGCCCAGGCTGAGAGTAGCCTCGGTGAACACAGAAACACCCTATGCAACTGAGACCCACCTTTTATGCTCACATAACGTGTTATTTACCAATATCTCATCCCCAGAAGTTGGATACATTTCCCAGTGATAGCTCCTTGAGGCAACATGACTTGGAGTCAGGCAGCATGGATTCTGGATATTTTTGTCCCCACCAACAGAACCAACTAGAGTCTTGCCGACTTGCTTTTGAGCACCTCATCCACAGACACCTAAAAATAGGTGTTTCTGATCATTCAGAGGCTGATTATATCCCAGCCCAAAGCGCCAACCTTGGAACTTCTACAAGGGCTGGACTCTGGATACAAGGAGCCCAGGTAGACAGACCTGCCCTCAGGAATCTTCCAGGCCAGAATAAGCCGAGCCCTCCCTCCCTCTCTCTCAGTTTCTCCAGAGCCTTCTGTTCCCTTGTTTGATTCCAACTTGTCTCCCCATCATGTGTCCCCTCTCATCCCCCACCACCTCTAGGCTAGAGTTTCCAGGCAGAGCTCACTCAGAACCTACTTCCCTCAGCCCGCCCAATCTCAGCAGTCCCAGCAGCCCCTTCCCTTATACCACTGAGGCACCTGCCTGTTCTGCTGTCATTAAGGGTGGAGACAGATCCAAGGAAAAGGACAGGTGCAGCACAAGCTTTGCATTAACCTTCTGACCACCTGCCCAGTGATCATGGTTCTGTGCCCAAGTCCAGAAATGGCCTCTGCCTGCTCCTCAGCCTCACCTAGTTAACTCCTTCTCCTTCCCTGCATTCTCCCTCTCCTCCCCTCCCATCACTTCTCCTCCATGTCTCCCTCCTCTCCTCCCTCTGTCATCTGAGGCCCAAGTTCAGCTAATGCCCAATCCTTATTCTCAGTGTCTATAGGAAGAGTCCACAGTAACTACTGTAAGAACCCTTCCCTCCCTGCCCCAGCTCCCTCTGTCCCCAGCCAGTCCATGCTGAAGCTTCCAAGTGTCACAGAGAACAAGGGTCACAGTGGATAGGCCCAAAACATTACAGTCTACAGGCTGAGGTCAGGCCTTACTTTCTTGTACTAGCCATAGATCTTGATGAGTCATTGTCCTCCCTGAGACTTGGTTTTCTCCTCTATAAAATAAGCATTAAAATATGAGGATCCTGGGCTTGGGATGTAGCTTCTTGCAAGTATAAGGCCTTGGTTCAGTATCCTGCATGGTTTAAAACAGTTGGGCACCATCTGTGCACCTGTAGTCCCAGCTACTGAAGAGGCTGAGGCAAGAGGATAGCTCAAGCTCAGGAATTCAAGACCAGCCTTGAACTGGACAGCTTAACATGGTCCCATATTAAAAAAGAGAGTCCTCAGTAATCAAAAAGAATGAAGTATTGATGAGTGAGCTTTGAAAACACTCCTATGCTAAGTGAAGGAAGCCAATCACAAAGGAGCACATCCTGTACGATTCTACTTATGTGAAATGTCAAGGACAGGAAAACTATAGTGACTGAAAGTAGGTTAATAGCTGCCTGGAGCTGGGGAAGGGGGAAGGGATGTGACTGCTGAGGTGAACGAAAGTTTTTTTGAGGGATGATGGAAATGTTCTAAAATAGATTGTGGCTATGGTTGCACAACTCTGTGCTAAAAACCATTTGAAGAATGGTTTTTAGAAGAAATTAATTGCATAGTATGTATATTATATCCCAGTAAATCTGTTATTTTTTTTAATCATGTGTTAATGTGAGGAGATTTTATACCTTTATTTATTTATTTTTTTATGTGGTGCTGAGGATCGAACCCAGTGCCTCACACATGCCAGGCAAGTGCTCTTCCACTCAGCTACAACCCCAGGCCTAAATCTGTTATTTTAAAAAAATTGGACTCCTAATAGTACCTACCTCACAGCAGTATAAAAAGTAGAAATGATGTGTATAAAATATCTAGCACATAGCTGGCACTAAGATGATGGCTTCATTGCTAATATTAAGAGGAGGCTCTGAGAGCCCTGCCAGTCTATTTGGGGGGACCTTGATATTTAGACTCTCAAAGGTGACACCCCACATACACCTATCACTGAGGTAGCTCTTCACAACTTGAAGGAATGAAAGGGCCCCAAGTCAAGGGAGCTGAACCAGACCTGGAACTCCCTGACCCCCTCCCCTGCCTGCCCCTCTCCAGCCCGCCTCTAGTCAAGTGATCAGACTGTCAACCAACCTCTCTAGGATTAGGTTTCAGGTCAGCTGGTGTATAAGACCTGTGCCAAGCCAGAAGCAGCAGAACAACAGTGAATGGCCAGGAGGAGCCATTGGATTCCTCCTGCCACCCCCTGGGATGGAGCCCTAGGGATCTACTGAGCTGCCCCTGCCCTGGCTGGGCTTACAGGTAAGACAAATTCCCCTCTCCCACTTACCCCTGTCCCTCCCCTTCTGCCTGTTCTCCCTTCCATGGAGGTTTTCAGAGGCAGCTAGGAACCATGATAAACTGAGAGAAATTCAGTCCAGGCCCCACCTTGTCAAGAGGAGGGAACTGCAGCCCTGGGAAAGTCCTCAAACCCCACACCATAACCGCACACTCGTGCCACTCACCCAGGACTCACCCTTACCCTGCTGGCTGCCTCTGGTGGAATTATGAAAATCCCCACAGATATGAAATGACTTTCTCAGAACTTTGGCTCCAAATCTCCAGGATTCCCCTGAGCATAAAGCCCTCTCTCCCCATGAGGGTCCTGGACCCTTTTCCTGAGTAATGATGATAATGATGAGGCCCCAGGCTAAGTCACCTGTCAGAGGTTTATGGAGCCCATGGTCACTGCTCAAATGGCTTCCTCAGTGGGGATGCTCTGGAGGGTTTGTCAGGGACAGTGGGGCTGGAGAGGCAATATGGATGGACATCTTAGAAAGGGGTCATCTGCCCCCTGCTTCAGAGCTACCAGGGGAAAATTTGTGTATATTGCAGATTCCTGGGTCTCACCTAAGACCTGAATCAGGACCTCTAGGGCCTAGGACTGAGAATCTGCTCTGTAAACAAGTAGTTTAAGGGATCCTGAGCTCCCCCCTGAAGTCTAAGACTCTGGGAGGAACAAAAGGCACTGGTTGTGTGACAGGACTAGGTGCCAATCTCAGCTCCATCACTTCAGCTAAAGCCTTCAAAGCAGGGCTACCTTATAATAGTACCTGTACATGTTATAAAGGGGTCAAATTAATGTCTACAAAGCCCTCAGCCCAGTGCCAGGTGCAGAAAGCACTCAGCAAAGTTTAATGGGCCCCGCAGATAAGACATCCCATCCTCAGGTTACCCAAGAAAGCTTCTGGAACAAGGATTCTAATCTCGACTTCCTCTTCCAGACAACAGCAAAAGTCTGCTGGCTTCCAGGGCTCTTCAAGGAACAGTTCAGGAGGGTGGAGAGCAGGTGGAAAGAGGTCAGGGACCCCTGGCCTCAGGGCAGCCCCTACCTTTCCCTGCCGTTGTCACCTTCCCCACCCACTCTCATGTGGCTTTTGTTTTCTTCTCAGTACTGGGGATTGAATTTAGAGGGTCTCTACCATGGAAATACATCCCTAGCCCTCTCTCTCTCTCTCTCTCTATATATATATATATATATATATATATTTTTTTTTTTTTTGAGAGAGAGAATATCACTATGCTGCCCAGGCTGGCCCTGAGTTGGCCATCCTCCTGCCTCGGCCTGCCAAGTCGCTGGGATTACGGGTACGCACTACTGTGCCACTGTGCACATGTGGCTTTTGACCTGAGTCTGTGCCCATCCATTCTGTTTCCTGTGGATGACTCAAGACTGCCCTGGAATAGGCTCCAGCTTCACCTCTGGATGTTGCTCTTGACCAAGTTCAGATTTTTAGCTCGTCTTGCTAGCAACATTCCAACAACCTCCTCACTGGTGCCTGAGCCTCCCTTCCAGCCCATTCTTGACAGCTGCACCAGCATCCTCTAACACAGGTCTGACAGTGTCATTCCCTCCCTGAGAACCACCAGCCATTCCCTGCTGTCCACTAGATTAACTCAGGCTTTTGAAGCCCTCTTCTATCCATCCCCAGGGGCATCTCTGATCTCATTTGCCCTTTCCTCACTTTAGCAAACTCCTGGTTTCTCTGAGTGCCTTCAGAAGCACTTAACGGTATGGAGAAGTAGACAGTAGATCCTGCACCTGTTGGTGGGGCACCCCTTCTCAAGAAAGTGTGGGGTGCCAGGCATGCTGGCACCTGAAATCCAGCAACTAGGAGGCTGAGGCAAAAGAATTGGAAGTTCAAAGCCAACTTGAACAATATAGATCCTGCCTCAAAAAAATACAAAGGTCTGGGGCTAAAGCTCCCCTGGATTCAGTACCCACTACCAAAATAAATAAATAAATAAAAGTGTGGAATCAGGGGTCAGAGACAGCTGGATACAAAATGGATTCAGAAAGGAAGACATGCCTGATGGCCAGGGGAGAGTAGGCTCCCCAGAGAGATAGGCCCAGCCTCAGCAGGAGACAAAACCCATGAAGTGCCCTCTGCAGGTCCTGACCCAGCACAGATCCTCCACATCAAATGGCCTTGGGCAGAGGATGTCCTGAACTTACACACCCCTGATGGGAATCCCACCTCTGCTCACTGTGTGGCACCAGGCAGGCAGGTCAGTTTGAAATATGAAAGTAGAACAAAAACAATGTGTAGTGTTCTTTTATTAGCACCTGAATGGTTCCCAAATGTTTTATAGAAAGGATACTTAGCCAGCAGGAGACAATAGAGAACACAGCCCCCAAGGGTCTCCCCTACTCTGAGAGTCAGCCTGATTCATGATGCCAAGGCCCCTGCAGCCCAGCTCACTTCAGAGGAGAGGGCAGGGGAAATGCCAGGGCTCGTCGGGGAAAGAGGCCACCAGGATGCCATGGAGAGAGCCAGCTGCTCCCACAGTACATTCCAGTCCCAGCCTCCCTGCTGGGAAGGAGCCCATGGGCCTGGCTGGCTTTCTGTAGGGCACAGGGCAGTGGGGAAGGCACAGGCAGAGAGTATTTCTTCCAGCATGCCTACAATACTGTCTCCTCAGCCAAGTTCACCCTGAGTCCCTGTGTCACCCCACAAAGCCCTTCCTGGGCTCTTCTTGGGTGGCAAATCAGGCATCAGGAAGACAGACTTAGGGGTGAGCCCAGGAGAGGCTAAGGCCTGACTGTCCCACCACACAGATCTCAGCTGCGCTGGCCCATTCTCTTCTCTGCCAACTGGGGCAATGGGGTGCTCAATGACCTTCCTCACCAGGCTCCACGTCTGACACTGCCATTCTCACAGGTTATTTTGCACATCATTCAGTAACTGCAGAGGGCTTTAAATGCCTTAAGACAAGAAGCACTCTACCACATGGGGTGCATAATTCCCCTCATAGTTTAGCACCCCTCAAAATGCACACAATCAGGGCTGGGGTTGTGGCTTAGTGGCAGAGTGCTTACCTAGCATGCATGAGGCACTAGGTTCGATCCTCAGCACCACATAGATGTAAAATAAAGATATAGTGCTCCCCTAAAACTAAAAAATAAATATTAAAAAATGCATATGATCATTGTAAATTGGACTCATCAGTGAGATTTATATCCCAATTTTAAAAGCTTAAAAAATAAAAATGTAAGTGCAAATCCATACTGGGAAGAATCAAATAAAAGCATCCTTTCTTCAGGGAAAGACTTCTTAAAGCCACACTATTGCAGGCTTCCAGATGGGGATCCAGTAGCTAGTGAGTCCCAGCCTCAGCCCATACCCCCCATCTTATCCCACCTCCTTTACTCTCTTTAAGTAACTCTACACCTGTTCACCTTCCTTATGAGAATGGGAACTCCTTGAGGGCAAGGGCCAAACCCAATTTATTCCATGTCTTTTTTTTTTTTTTTTTTGCTATTGCCTAGCATGGTGGCCAAGAAATATCTGATCTGGGTTCTGGGCCAGGGTATAGCTCAGTGGTAGAGCTCTTGCCTAGCATGTACAAACCCTGCATTTCATCCCCAGCACAGCAAAATGTTTTTTTCATGAAATTTTCATTTATATATTAGTATGAATTAGCAGATCATTTCCTTCCAAAGAACAGGCTTTTCAGAGGCTGGGATTGTAGCTCAGTGGTAGAGCACTTGTCTGGCACGTGTGAGGCACTGGGTTCGAGCCTTTGCATCACATAAAAATAAATAAATAAAATAAGAGTATTGTGTCTATCTAAAACTAAAAAAAAAAAATTTAAATATTAAAATTAAAAAAAGGCTTTTCCAAAGAGAGGTATAGCAAGCATTAGTTCATGGTGCCTGAATGGAATGTGTGGCTTGAGGAGACAACAAAGAGAAGAAGGTTGTAGATGGCAGTCCTGAAAGAAGGCTTAAGAGTCACTAGCTTAACCCCTATTTGGGGTGGGGGAGAGGGTACCAAGTATTGAACTCAGGGACACTCAATCACTGAGCCACATCCCCGCCCTATTTTGCATTTAGAGACAGAGTCTCACTGAGTTGCTTAGGGCCTCACTAAATTGCTGAGGCTTGCTTTGAATTTTCAATCCTCCTACCTCAGCCTCTGGAGCCACTGGGATTAAAGGCTTATCCTCTATCTTTGGGCACCCAATTCACTACAGATGGCTGGGGTAATCCATATTCCCATTTGCCCAAGAGTGGTTAAATGTGTACCTAAGATCATGTCACTCATTAGTAAGTCTTGAAGACAGGACCAGACCCCAAATTTTCTGGTCACAGGCCCAGAATTCTATTGCCCTGTAGGGAAGGTGTGCACACTCTGCCCACTTCACAATTCTGTGGGACTGGCTCTGGCTCCAGGTGTGGGGTCACTAAAGGTTCAGGACCTCAGCACACCAGCAGTGTGTGTGTGAGTCAGGGTGCTCGTGGGCATGACCTGCCAAGAGACGGCATCCTCACCAAAGACCTGATTGTACAAATATTCAGATTACAAGAACACAGGACTGCCTATGATGGTGTGCCAGTTTCTCAGTGTCACCAAGGCTATACATAGACCTTCACATGCAAAAGTGCCCTTGTTAACCACTGGTAATAGGGTGCAGGCACAAGTGCACACCAGTGTCAGCATATATGTACGTGAACTAGAGGTGTACATGGGCTCTAGCAGGACAAGAGAAGACAGCACATTCCCTTGGTCCAAGATTGATCCTCCCCTGTCTGAGATGCTCCTCAGTGAAGTAAGGAAAAAGGGGGCATGTGCCAAGCCAGACAGAGCAGCTGGGACTGCCACAAACATTCATGGAAGGCGCCGCATTAGCCCATCTCCCTCAGAGCTGACTGCAGGATGCAGCAGCTAATCAGTCAGGGCCCACTCTTCCCCCAGCTCCACCAACAGCATCAGTCCAGGAATCCATCAGTGTTAAGAAGGAATGTCTCTAGTCACAGAAAGGGAACCACAACTGAAAAGAGTTTTATTTACTTTATGTATGAGTATATTAAGGCATCCTTGTGTAAAAGATATCTTCATCCAAAATGAATGACAGTTTCATTCAGTCATGAGGAGTGTTGGCTCCAGTTCTTAGGGAGAGAAAGATCTCAAGTGGTGAGACACCTCAGGGAGCAGGATCACCAAACAGCCTGTCATAGGAAGCAGCTGCATGCTGGGGAGAACAAGGTGTGTGTGGAGTCAGAGCCAGGCCTGGTCCCTGTCAGAGCCTGTTTCCTCATCCATACAATGAAGATAGCACCACCAGCCTGCTCCCTGGTGCTGAGGGGACAGGGTGAGGATTGCAAGATATGAAGGATGGGAAAGTGACCTGTTTTTATAGGCTAAACTCAGACAACTTAAGTGTGGCAATGCCCAGGCTTCTCACTTTCTGAAGCTCCTTCCGGCTGCAGGGTACCTGGAGATGGGTCAGGGTCAGGCAACCCCGGCTCCATCCACCTCCCCTGGCCTCCTCCTGCAGCCTTCTCCCTGCACTAAAGCCCAGAGCTACCAATTGACCTCTCCCTTTGGACATCACTGGGCTCTGGAGGGACAGGGTCAATCTTACTGAGAGGATGGTTGGACTGAAGCCTTCAGAAGTGCCTCCCACCACCGCTGTGAAGTGCCTGGGGGCGGGCACTGCGGCCTGTTTCGCAGACCTCCTCACCTTTCCACTGGATACAGCCAAGGTCCGCCTGCAGGTAGGTACCCTTTGGCCAAGGGTAATTGTTCACATCAAAGGAAGGGTTAGTCACCCTCCACAGCACCTTGGCAATCTGTCAACACACACTTCCTGGCTCAGGGCAGGGGAGGAGTGGGGACTACACTCATTACCCAGGACAAAAAAAAAAATATCTAAATGCCTTGGCATGATGTGGCAGGTTCCTTCCCTGATTTGTAAACCAAAATGTGTGAGGTAAAGTTAAGGCATTAACTGTGACCTTGAGCAAGCCACTAACCATTTATAAAATAAGGAAAACAGTCCAGGTGGATGCCTATAATCCTAGCCACTCAGGAAACTGAGGCAGGAGTATCCTAAGTTAAAAGCCAGCATCAGCAACTTTGCAAGGCCCTGTTTCAAAGTTAAAAATTTTAAAAGGGTAAAGATGAAGCTCAGTGGTAAAGCACCCCTGGGTAAACCAGTACCAAAAAATAATAATAATAATATATTAATTAATTAATTAGTTTATTAAAATGTGAAAAATATCTGCCCCTCTAATTTGTTCTGAGGCTCAAACGCCACACCCCTCCTTTGTGAACCGTAAAATGCTGCACAAACCTCAGTTCTTTTCACTGTGAGGTGATGGTCATGCTTGTCCTCAAGGTCCAGTCAGGCAGGTCCAGCCCAGGCGGGGCCTCTGTGCACACAGCACTTTCTGGGAACCCACCCAACAACTCAGGTCCCCATGGTTGTCCCTCAGATCCAGGGAGAGAACCCGGCGGCAGAGAGCGTGCAGTACCGCGGCGTGCTGGGCACCATCTTGACCATGGTGCGCACCGAGGGCCCCCGAAGCCCCTACAACGGGCTGGTGGCCGGCCTGCACCGCCAGATGAGCTTCGCCTCCATCCGCATCGGCCTCTATGACTCTGTCAAGCAGTTCTACACCCCCAAAGGAGCGGACAGTGAGTGTCCGCTACCCTGTGGACGCCAAGGGTCATGTCAGGCGCAGCTCGCACGTGGGTCAGCACACCCTGCCAGGCCAGAGCAGAGGCAGAGCCCGGCCTAGGGAAACTGGTAACAGATGCGGGAAAGGAGGCTCTGACGTGACAGGGACACAAGGACTCCAGTCCTTCCATGGAGGAAGAGGGCCAGCAGCACAGGGCGACCCCGGGAGAGCGGGCTGGGGAGAGGGAATTTCAGCGTGCAGCTCTGGCCCACTCCCTCTGCTCTTCCCCAGATTCCAACATCGCCATCAGGATTTTGGCGGGCTGCACCACGGGGGCCATGGCAGTGACTTGTGCCCAGCCCACCGATGTGGTGAAGGTCCGATTTCAGGCCAGCGTGCGCCTGGGGCCCGGGAGCCACAGGAAATACAGCGGAACTATGGATGCCTACAGAACCATCGCCAGGGAGGAAGGGTTCAGGGGCCTGTGGAAAGGTAGGCTCCCGGGGACAGGGGACCCAGCATGGCATATTCCACTAACTCCATATGAACGTCCCCAACAAAGAAACCTCCCACACTTGCCTCAGATTCTGTTCAATTTACCAATCCTTCACCTTCTGTCAGGGAGCTAGAAATGAATGTGACACGTCCTCACTCTGGTGCTCTCAGACAGCAGAAGAGATAAGACAGGTCAAGCAGTCTACACCTCAAATAAGATGTGCCAGGTGCCCTGCCAGAGGTGGGAGAGACCAGGCTGGCTCCAGAGAGAAACTGGCACCTAAGAGGGCTTCAAAGACTGAGGAGGCTCCAAGGGTGTGGAGATGGAAGGGCAGGGCCTTCTGCAGGACACAGAGCAAAACCAGGCAATGGAGGAGCCCTATTGAGAGGAGTGGGGTGCAGTGAGACCCAGAGAGGAGGGGACTTCCTTGGGAACAAAGACTTGAGTGTTCCTATATATCTACACCGGTGCCACCTGAACAAATGCTAGACTCTCTCCCACATCTGGGCCAGATGTGTGAATCCTTACAGAAGAAACAGTTGTCCTGTGTAGTTTAAGGGTAGGGTGCCTGGGTCACAGTACTGGCTTGCACTCCATTTCTGGGTGCCCTTCCATCCCCAAGCCTGACCGCCCCCCACCCCAGTGAAACTACTCTTCTAGAGTCCTATCAATGCTACATTCTGTCACTGTCCCAAGAACCCAGATTTGCTCTTCCAAATATGACTTCTTTTTCTGGCTACACCTGGTGTCAGGGGGTGCATTTTAATTTTGACAACTATTGGAGATTATCCTCCAAAACATAGCCAAATGAACACAAGTGGGCCCCTCTGTTTTCTTTCTCTAAGGAAGATCTGAGAGCTGTTAACTCTAGAAAGAAGAATGGGATCTGCTTGGATTGGTGTATGTTGTGGGGAGGTCCTCCTAGCTGAGATCATGGCAGTGGGGCACCACTGTGGTCCTACAGCCAGGACATCCAATTCACCATTCCCCATTCAACAGCTCCTGCTACCTTCTTCACAGGAACTTGGCCCAACATCACAAGGAATGCCATCGTCAACTGTGCTGAGATGGTGACTTATGACATCATCAAGGAGAAACTTCTGGACTCTCGCCTGCTCACTGGTGAGGCCCTGGAGTTGGCATCACCCACAGGCAACTGAGCTTTAAAAGGAGCAGAGAGAAGAGCAATGCCCAGTTCAGGACTTTGACAAGTAGGAAAGAGGCCTGGGCCACAGGCCAGAGCCCTGGGCTCCAGGCACCATCTCTTACTGTGTGTCTGAAAAAAGGTTTCTCACTTTGACTTCCATTTCCTCCAATAGAGTATTGGGCTGCGTGACCTTATTAACCAGGGATACCCATTTCTGATTTGCTAGGACTTAATGAGAGATCAGACCTGGTACTATGAAAGAGAGAGACAGTACTTTCCTGTGCTCAAGGAGTCAAAGTTGAATCACAGATGATGAATGCACGTGGTGCACTCACTCCTTGATATTTGCTCTTCCTCCCCTTCTACAGACAACTTCCCCTGCCACTTTGTCTCTGCCTTTGGAGCTGGCTTCTGTGCCACAGTGGTGGCCTCCCCAGTGGATGTGGTGAAGACGCGGTATATGAACTCACCCCCAGGCCAGTACCGCAGCCCACTGGACTGTATGCTAAAGTTGGTGGTCCACGAGGGACCCACAGCCTTCTACAAGGGGTAAGCCTCCCCCCTGCCTCCAGCACCCCCTCCCAGAGAAGTTAGTCTTCCATGTTGTCTAACATGCCTGCCAGTCTATCAGGAGATGCAGTGAACAGAACAGATGTCAATGCCACAAAGGAGAAGTGTCAAGAATTATGGGAGTTAAGGGCTAGAGCTGTAGCTCAGTGGTGGAGCACTTGCCCAGCACATCTGAGGCACTGGGTTCGATCCTAAACCCCACATAAAAAAAATAAATAAATAAAGGCATTGTGTCTACATACAACTTTAAAAAAAATTTTTTTTAAATTATGGGAGTTTAAAAAAAAAAAGTGAACCAAACCTGATTTGGAGAGTTAGGGAAGCCTTTTTGAGAAAAAGGAGTATAAAGATAGGTTAAAATACTAGAGGAAGAGGTGGTTTGTAATTCCCAAACCTTTCGGCAGCTTGTCACCCTGACTGCTCATCCCCACACTCGTGTCAGCAGAGGCGCCATACTCACTGTGCCAACACTCACGTTTCTGTGCCTTTGCATTTACTGTTCCCTCAGCGAGGAGCCTTTCCCTCACCATCTGAATGCTCTTACTCCTAGCCATCCTTTTAGACTAATTCAAATGTCCCCACCCCCCTAACATTCTCATGTATAAGTTTTCCTTTCTCCCTGAGAACTTTGGCATTAACATTTGATTCTATCTTCATCACCTCCTGCCTTGTAGTGGAGTGTTGGTAAGGTTAAAGTACTCCTTACACTGGAGTGCAAGTTTCTTAGAGCTAAGGACCGGTGGCCTATCTGTCTTTCATCTCCCAGAGTCCCTATACAAAGCAAATGCTCAATAATGTGATTTTAACCATCATCCTGATAACTAAGCCCCCTACATTTTCTCAACAACCCCCTAACTATGTAGCAGACCCACACTAACCGAGGAAGAGAGTATGTCTCAGAAAAGTAACTTGTCGGAGAGCAAAAGTTAAAATGGCAGAGCCCTGGCTCAAACCCACTCTGCCCGACACCACACCCAGCATGCTATTGTGTCTCCCAATGGTAGCTCTTAGCTAGGCCCTCTCACCTCCACCACTGAAGCCATCAGCAGATAGTTAGTTTAGACCCAACAAGCAAACAGAAGCAACTGGAGGGTGTCAGTTGTGGGAGAGTGTTCTGCTAAGTGCCCCATTTGTAAAACCTTAATTGATAGCCACTTGTCTCAGTTTATTCTTCCACTTGCCAAAAATTTATTGAACATCTTGTGTGTACCAGGCCCTGTGCTATGCATCCCTCAAAGAGCAGCAAACAAGTAGGTGACATTAGTCAATGCTTACAACACCCTATAAGGTAAATACTGTGATTTTCCTCATTTCCTTCTCAGTACTGGAGATTGAACCCCAGGGATACTCTACTACTTAGCTCCAGCCCCCTCCCGAGTCCTTTTTAACTTTTTTTTTTTTTTTTTTTTTTTGAGACAAGTTCTTGCTAAATTGCCAAGACTGGCCTTGAACTTGTAATCCTCCTATCGTAGCCTTCCAAGTAACTGGGATTATTTTTCTCATTTTAAAGATAAAGAAACAGGCTCAGAAAAATTAAGTCATCTTGTCCAAGTTTGTAGAGCCAGAAAATGGTGGAGCCTGACTCAAGTTCACACATATTGCCACAATGCTATAGTCCCCATGAGGATCTAGGATCCTCATGTGGTTAAGGTACTCAGGCTGAGAGTGACAAGCAACCAGCCAGAAAGCAAGAGAGTAGGGGACAGTCCAAACAGAGCGAGCAAAATGGACAAAGGCAGGGGAGTGAGGAGGCCCAGCATCGTCAGGAGACTCTAACTAGCTGAGTCTGGGAGCAGCAAAAAGGCCTGGGGTGGGAGTGGACACTATGGGAGAGAGGCTGAGAAGAGGGCAGGGGCCAGCTGTCGGCTGCCCCCTGAACCCATGGGGCACAGTTGAGGTGGGGACTGTCTCCCCTCTGCCACCACAGCACAGGCAGGCTCTCCAGAGCTGAGCTCAGTTTGGTGCCCTGCAGGTCTCACCTGCACTGCCCCAGCTTCTCACTGTCCTGGTGGGACCCTCCTCAGGGGCAAGAGATCAGGGTATAAATGAGCCCAGGAACCCCCAGCAGCAGGGTGGAGTCAGGTCACATGGCTCATTTGAACCTTATATCTGGTATTTACTAGCTGTGTGGCTTTGGTTGAGGCCTCCCCTGGGCCGCAGTTTCTAAAACAGAAACCTGATGACAAACATAGTAACCATACAGAATTGTTGTGAGAATCGAGTGCCTGACATGATAACCTGGCTCAAAATGTTAGTTTTCTTTTCTCTCCTGACTCTAGCTTCTGTCTGAAGCCTCTCGGCAGAGAAGAAAAAAATGGAATGGATCTCAGAAAATGCTTGAGACAATAGTCAAGGTCCTTCGGCACAACTCCATGCCAGTGAGGACACAGGAGAGCTCACAGTCCCCTCCTCCTAATGCTGTGGTTCTTTTTTTCATCAGATTCACCCCCTCCTTCTTGCGTTTGGGATCCTGGAACGTGATGATGTTTGTAACCTATGAGCAGCTGAAACGGGCCTTGATGAAAGTCCAGATGTTGAGGGAATCTCCATTTTGAGCAAGACAAGAAGGCTACTTGGTACTTACCTGGCATGAGGCCAGTTAAGGATGAAATAAAGCAGTGGACTCAGGCCCACACATGTTTACAGAACTGCGTACTTGTTGCTGATTCAAGAAACAGAACTGAAAGAAGAGGAAGGATTTTGGTCTTCAGTGCTTCGTCTAAAAACACCCTTGTTTTGCACTGACTTAATGGAAAATAAATTATATTAATTTTGAAACCCATTAGGTTGGATGCCTAATATTTAGGCAAGAGTAAACAGATCCCTCTGGATAAAAGGGAAGTTTGCAGACTTGCATACCCAGATAAATTGGATTAGATGATGACTTATAACAGAAAGGCCACCAGAGTGGGAAGGAGTACACATGAAAGTCAGCTGAGGAGCCTCAAGGGACACCACTGATGCAACCCGAAGCTGAGACTGCAGCCTCCACAGTCACACAGGGATCATCTGCCTACTGGTCCTAATGAGTCCACCAAGGAGAATCCACTGGGATTCCAAGAAATGTGAGAAACAGAAGGGAAAACTCAAACCTGTGCCGCAGGAGCCCCGCAGGGCCAACCTGAGGCTGAGGCCTGGAAATCTGTCCTCCCAGAGAACACAGGAGAATCAAGGGGGCGCCTCAGTCCACTTCTATAAAATAGGTAATAATCTCTTCCCCGCCTACCTCACCGGGGTGTTAGGAAGAACAATGAGAAAGAAGCTGGGCACGAATCCACTTTATAAAAGCGAAAGCTCCTACAGGCCTAAGTATGAGGACAATGCCTTGAGAAAGATTTTTTTGGAAAAGAGAGGAATTGCCAAGAAGTTTTTGAAAAACACAGTTGTCTAGTGGCAAGACCAGAAGAACCTGGGCTGCAAGTGACAGTGGATGACCGGAGCCCCACTCCCCTGCACCCCTGCTCCCTGGCCCCACTGTGAGGCACTTTGAAGGGCGTGGGGCTTGGGGAGAAGAGAGCCTGGCCTAGAGTCTGAAGCAGCTGGATTCAGAGTCTTTGGGAAATTAGTGTGATTCAGTGAAGGAATTCTGACCTTCAGTGTGGGAATAAGAACAGCCGCTTTTCTGCCTTCTCTTTCTCGGATAGAATTTTCTCCCTTCAGGGTTTTTATTTGTCAGGGTGGAGCCAGATCTAACTCTGTCACTGTCCCTTTGACTGCAGGCAAGTTGATCTACCTTCTAGGGGTTTGGCTCCTCCATCTGCAAAAGGCGAAGTAGAGCTGCTTGACCTATTTTCAAGCTTAAGACTGAACATCTTTCAAACTGATAATGGGGACCCACAGAGCCAGTGGCCATTCTTGTTTCTCAGGAGCATGTTGTGGCTCTAGGACAGTAAGAAGAGGGTCTGGATCTTACCACACCCACCTTATTAACAATTACCCTCAGGGAATCCTTGCCCCTCAGAGTCCTCCTAGAGAAGCTGATGACAGTCCCTAGCTCACTAGCATGTGCTGGGGGTTGATCTAGAACACCCTGCAATACAGGAGGGCTCCTGTGTCATTTCTTCCTCTCCTGACCTGACTCATCCACATCAGGAAAAAGTGAATCGCCATCCTGCCTCAGCACTTCCTGACATTAAATTGTAACTTGAGATCATCTACATATACAAACTGAATAGCTCAAACAAAAGGGAAAGAAAGAAATTATTTTGATTTAATGTCTAATTTAACCTTTAAATAAAACTTCCACTTATAAGTTTCTTTCTTTTGACTTATATGATGTGTGCAAATCATTCTTAAATTCCTAATCTCCATTTGTAACTTACTAGGGGCCAGGAACATGTCTTCCATTAATTTCTATAGGGCAATATTTGGTGGGAGTGGGTACCTGGGATTGAATTCAAGGGCACTCAACCACTGAGCCACATCTCCAGCCCTATTTTGTATTTTATTTAGAGACAGGGTCTCACTGAATTGCTTAGCACCTCATTTTTGCTGAGGGTAGTTTTGAACTCGGAATCCTCCTGCCTCAGCCTCTGGAACCACTGGGATTACAGGCGTGCGCCACTGTGCCTGGCTCTATATAGCAATATTAATACATCATTTATTCAGGTGATATTATAGTGAGAGGGGAGGGAGGTAGATAAATTCTAAGAGTTTTTTTTTTTTTTTTTTGGTACTGGGAATTGAGCCCAGGAGAGCTTTACCACCAAGCTACATCCCCTGCCCTTTTCATTTTGAGAGTCTGTCTCACTAAGTTGCTTAGGGCTTTGCTAATTTGTTGAGGTTGGCCTGGAACTTGCCATCTTCCTACCTCAGCCTCCTGAATCACTGGGATTACAGTCATGAGATATGTGATTGGGATCAGGAATCTAGTGACCTCTAAGTCCTGTCTTCTGAAGAAAGGAAAACAAGATTGATAAGGTTTGAGGCTTCATGAACAAAGTATTAGATTTCTGTCCCTACCTCTTAAAGGTGGAAGTTGAACCAGATAACCCAAAGCTCTTTAATTCTGTGATTGTAAGAACTAAATTTCTTCCATGCTACAGCATACATGCCCATTCTAGTCCTGATCTCAGTTCCAGGAAACCAGGAATGTGAACTCATGAGAAGATCAGATTACCAGCTGAGGCTTACCCCGGAAGGCTGACTCCTGGTCTCTGTGCACCTGTTCTCCCCACACTCCCCCAAATCACAGATGCCACTTCCAACCAAGTCGTTCAAAAAAAGTCTGCTTTTCCTCAAATTCTTCTTGTATATCATGCAAAAATTAGATAATTTGAGCCCAGACTCAGTTAAAACAGAAATTATGTAAGTAATGGTGTTATTTTGATTTATCTTCAATTTAATTTAATTATTTGTACTAGGAATTGAACCCAGGGGCACTCTACCACTGAGCTACATCCCCAGCCTTTTTTATTTTGAGACAGGGTTTTGCTAAGTTGCTTAGGGCCTCTATAAGTTGCTTTGAATTTGCCATCCTCCTGCTTCAGCCTACTGAGTCACTGGGATTACAGGCATGTGCTACCACACGTGGTATTAAAGAATATTTTATTAAAGCCAGGCACAGTGACACACATCTGTAGAACCAGCTACTTAGAAGATTGAGGCAGAAGGATCATCACCTCAAAAATAAATTTTACAAAGGCTGGGATATAGCTTAGTGGTAGAGCATCCCTGGGTTCAATGCCTATTGCTGCAAAACAAACAAATAAAACAAAATATTTTATTAAAGAGAAATTAATATTAAGTAAAGAAATACAATTGTATTTCTGCATACCACTTAATTTGTGTCAGGGCACTTTGAAAACGGCAGAGTGCTATACAAATGCAATGTGTATACATCCTAAGTGGCCCTTTACATTAGGTGCAGAGGTGAATAAGACCTGTCCTGTCTTCCAGGAGCTCTTCAGGGTGGAGGATGCTGAGCAGAAAGGCAAACCACAAACCACCAATTACCACAGAATGGTAAAAGCTACAAATGAAGGTACATATGAAGCACCCAGGAGAGGGTGTTCAGGTGAGGGACACTGAGCCTGGTTTAAGAGGCCAGAAGCTTCTTGGGGGAAGACCTGAAGGACAAATAGAAGTTACACAGGCAAAGGAAGGTGGATGAGAGTCACTCTAGGCAGAGAAGAGCTCGTGCAGAAGCTCAGAAACAAGACAAGAACAGGGCAGCCTTGAGGTTGCCAGCTGTTGGTGTGCTGGGTTGCAGACTTGCAGGGGTGTAGTGAGAAAGATGGAGATGAGGAAAGTAGAGGCCACATGTTATGGACTGAATTTGTTTCCCCAAATTTATATACCAAATCCCTACCCCCTCAGGTGATGGTGTTTGGAGGTGGAGCCTTTGGGAGGTAATTCGATTTCGATGAGGTCATGAAGGTGGGATTCCCCAACACAGGGTTAGTGTCCTTGTAAGAGGAGGAAGAGAGACCCAGAGATCACTCTTTCTCCTCACCGTGTGAGGACACAGGAAGAAGGCAAGCCAAGAAGAGACCCACCCACACACACCAGAAACCCAACTTCGGAACCTTGACCTTAGACTTCTCAGTCTCCAGAGCTGTTGTGTAAGACAACCAGTGTATGATAGTCTGTAATGGTAGCTTTGTGATCTAATATGCCAACACTAGGGAAATTGTAGTGTCTGGGAAATTGGAGTGTTTAAGTAGGGAATAATGAGCTGCAGAACAGAGAAGGAATTAGAGGAGTGCACTCTGGTCCTAGTTGGATGAGACTGTGGTTGGAATCAAGGCAAGAGTCTTTGAAGTGGCAGTTGAGTGGATAGAATAGTCATAAATCAATGGTACTTGGTAAGATTCTATCTGGAAGGAGTAGTGAGAGAGAAGAGCTGCTTACACGTGTAAAATAACATACAAATAATAAATTCTACCATCTTGCTGGGCATGGTGCCACACATTTGTAAACCCAGAAACTTGGGAGACTGAGGCAGGAAGATCACAAGTTTGAGACCAGCCTTAGCAACTTGGCAAAATTCTGTCTCAAAATTAAAAAATAAAAAAGGCTGGAGAGCAGGGGTTTTGGCTCAATGGTACAGCGCTTGCCTATCACCCGTGAGGCACTGGGTTCAATCCTCAGCACCACGTTTTAAAAAATAAAAATAAGCAAAATAAAGGTATCGTGTCCATCTACAACTAATAAAGATATTTTTAGAAAGGGGGTGGTGGTTAGGGATGTGGCTCAGTGGTTAAGTGCCCCTGGGCATTCAATCCCTGGTACCACAAACAAACAAACAAACAACAACAACGACAAAAAAAAAAAAAAAACTTACCATCTTTTCTATTTTAAAAGGTACAGATTTTTGCTGTTGGTAAAATAGTTCATATTGTTCTAAAACCATCACCACCATCCCTCTCCAGAACTCTTGAAACCCTGCAACTCTATTGAACTTGACTACTCCAAATATCTCATATAGGTGGAATCATAGAGTATTTGTCTTTTGCTTCACTTAGCATAACATTCTCAAGATCCATTCATTCGGTCTCATGTCCATTATTTATGCACACCATGTTTTTTTTTTCCTTTCAAATTTATTTATTTATGTATTTATCTTATAGTAGAATGCATTTTGATATATAGTACACAAATGGAACACAACTTCTCATTCCTCTGATTGTACATGGCTCAGGGTCACTCCACTAGTGTAATCATACGTGTATATACGGTATTAAAGTCTGTCCCTTTCTACTGTCCTTCCCATCCCCACAACCCCACCCCTCCCCTGACTCCCCTCTACACAAACCAAAGTGTCTTCATTCTTCCCTACCCGCCCCGTCCCCCCTCACTATGGATCAGCATCTGCTTATCAGAGAAAACATTTGGCTTTTGGTTTTTAGGAATTGGCTTATTTCTCTTAGCATGATATTCTCTATTTTCATCCATTTACCTGCACATGCCATAATTTCATTATTCTTTAAGGCTGAGTAATATGCATACCATGTTTTGTTTATCCACTCATCTGCCAATGAACACTTGAGTGCTTTCTACTTTTGACTATTGTGAATAACACTGTTATGAACATAGGTGTACAAATATTGTTAGACCACAACGCAAAGAAAAGACCACTGATTCCAATTAAAATCAAATTAAAGCAAGCTTATATTTTGACCATGGGAGCCAAAGACAGCCCCACAGCTTTCTTGCAGCTCAGCTTTATAGCCCAGAAAGTTACACAAGGGGGGGGGGGGGTTATAGAAAACAAAACTCTGAAAAGCATAACACAAAGGCTAGTTTATATTTTTGCTGGCCCCAACATCAGAATTTATGATGGTCATTAGAGCCTCAGAGAGGGTTGTTATCTGATCAGGGAAAGCCAGGCATGGGTGAATTCAAGGCACAGGCAGGCATTCCAAGCAAGTTCAGAATTTGCAGTCATTTATAGTAAATCCAAAATTAGCTTTTATGTCTTTGTGGTGAGATGGCTCCCAATTTTAAGAGGGAATCAGACTGGGTCTATCAATATCTCTTCAAGACAGTGCTTTCCATTATTTTAGGTATATAACTGACAAGAAACTGCTTGATCTTATGGTAATTCTATTTTTTATTTCTTTGAGGATTCACTATACTGTGTTCTGTAGCAGCTGTGTCATTTTACATTCCCACCAGCAGTGCACAGGGCTCCATTTCTCCAGTTCTTCCTTATTTTAGCCAACACTCATCTCGTTTGCTGTTTTATTTTGGTACTGGAGATTGAACCCAGGAGTGCTTTTCTGCTGAGCCATATCCCAGCTCCCTAAAAAAAAAAAAAAAAAGAATTGAGACAAGACATCACTAAGTTGCTAGGGACTTGTTAAGTTGGTGAGGTTGGCCTTGAACTTATGATCCTCCTGCCTTAGATTCCCGAGTAACTAGGATTACAGGCATGTGGCACCACCAAGCCTGGCTTTGTGTGTGTGTGTGTGTGTGCTGTTTTAATATATAGCTATCCTAATGGGCATGAGGTGGTATTTCATGGTGATTTTGATTTGCATTTCCTTAATTACTGATATGTTAGCTTCCCCTCATTGTAACAAAATACCTAGAATATATAGGAATATAATAAATATAAATATAAAATATAAGGGGGAGAGATTTATTTTGGCTTGACAGTTCAGAAGTTTCAATCTGTGGTCACTTGGCCTCTTAGTTTTGGGGCCTGTGACAAGGCAGGACCTCATGGCAGAAGCACCTGGAAGAGGAAATTGCTTGTGCTTGTGCTTGTTATAGAGGTATATTTGCTTCATAAAAGTTTTTTTTTTTAATTATGGAAACTTTTATT